CAGCCTCGACCCACTGGGCTCTGGCGATCCTTCCGCCTCAGCCTTCTGAGTAGCCGGAATTACAGGCACGCGCTACCATGCCCGGCTGATTTTTGATTTATTGTAGAGATGAGGTTTCACCAAGTTTCCCCAGTCTCGAACCCGCGGGCTCAGGCAATCCACTCACCTCAGCCTCCCAAAGGCGCGGGATTACAGGCTGAGCCACCGAGCCCGGCTTGTTTCTACATTTTTAAAAAGAATTTCTTACTTGATTAAGTGAATCTTGAACTTTTCTTGATATATTTTGCTTAAGACATCTTTTTCCTGATTCTAGATTTGGCAGGCAACATTCTGGAATTAGGCTCTTTTTTTCTTTATGAAAGCTACTGTAGTGAGTCCCCTCCCTCCATACCCCTCCTTTTTGTATTTTGTGCATGCTTTTGAGTGAATAAGTTAATTCAGTTAGTAAATCCGTGATTTTTTTTTTAGAATCTTTGATTTATTTCTTTTGTTCTATTTTGTGGTTTGCTTTTTGTTTTTTTTTTGAGTTGAAGTGTCTGTCATCCAGGCTGGAGTGCGGTGGCACGGTGACGGCTACCCCAGCATCGACCTGCTGGACTCTGGCGATCCTTCCACCTCAGCCTTCCAAGTAGCCGGATCTACAGGTGTGTGCTACCTACCATGCCTGGCTAATTTTTGATTTATTGTAGATATGAGGTCTCGCCAAGTTGCCCAGGCTGGTCTCGAACCCACGGGCTCGGCTCGGCCTCCCAGAGTGCTAGTATTACAGGCTGAGCCACTGAGCCTGGCCTATTTTGCTATTTTTAACTGCCCTTAAATGGAAAAGTACAGGGAAAGGGGGCAAAAGGGTAAAACTTATTCCTAGGGCAGTTGAGAAAAGTAAACAATAGTTGGTTAGCAAAGTAAGATTTTTGTTTTTAATCTTTGAAATAGCAATTAAATTAAAATCATTGGCTGGGTGTGGTGGCTCATGCCTATAATCCTAGCACTTTGAGAGGTTGAGGAGAGAAGGTGAGAGGATTGCCTGAGCCCACAGGTTCGGGACAAGCTGGGCAACTTGGCAAGAACTCATCTCTACAATAAATTAAAAAATTAGCCGGGTGTTGGTGGCACATGCCTATAGTTCCAGCTACTTGGAAGGCTGAGGTGGAAGGATCGCCTGAGCCCAGCAGGTCAAGACTGTGGCGGCCATGAGCATGCCACTGCACTCCAACCAGGGTGACAGAGTGAGACTTCGACTAAAAAAAATAAATTAAAATCACAAGTAGTTCTCAAATCATTTTTCATTATGAAAGCCCTGAGTTTTTTTAAATAAGGAATCATGTTCTTCCTAATGTCTAACTCTTGATATCATTCTGCTGCTTATATTTATGTTTCATATATAGTGGTGTCCTTTAAATTGTTGAAATGAAACAGTTGTTGAAAAATTTTTGAAATTTTTTCCCCCAGGGTCTTATTTTTGTAGTAGATAGCAACGATCGTGAAAGAATTCAAGAAGGAGCAGCAGTGTTGCAAAACATGGTAAGACTATATTTTAAATTCATCATTTTCAAGATGTATTTTTCTGGATGACATTGGTGTTGTCTTAGTGGTTGGTTCATTTTAACTATGACTAGGTTACGTAAATGTGTATTTTTGGGACTAGAAAGAACCTTGAAAAATTGTATCATCCTTGGATTCTTAAGAATGCACTGTCATCCATGGGTTCTTAAGAATGCACGTAAAAATCTTAACAGAGCTTTTTAAAAAACAGACGGAAGAGTACCTACTTCAGTTAATGGAAAGGATTGTTTTTAAAATGTTCCATGAGTAATTTTGATGCATATCTCTCATTGAGGAGATCTGATTTAGTTCAGTCCCATATTTTACAGATGTAAAATCTGTACTTTTGAAGCAGTTTTGACCTAGGAATCCTGGTTCAAATTCCTTTTTCCCAAGGCCATCAGGTTTAATTTTCTCTATGCTTATGTCAGTAATTACTTCAGAAATGTTTTCTAGTAGCAACCATGATAAAGAATTCCTTCTGAAAGTAGAGGTGATTTGATTGACAGTGGCATTTTGGCCTACTATATATCAGGTTAATGTTTTCACATTGTTAAATATCTTGAAGGGAAGAACATTGCTCAGAAACCTTGTCATGATTTTAAACTTGTAGCCATAAAATACTGAAATGAAATTTTAACTATGTTTCATTGCTCCTTAGACTAGAGTGAAGTTTGTAAAAACCATTGTCTAAGTCACTGATGGTTTTTTGCCTAATAAGTTAAATGTCACCAACTTCCATTTTTTTTGAACAGCTTTATTGAGATCTAATTCACATACTATATTTCACCCATTTAAAATGTAGAATTCAGTGATTTTTAGTATACACAGTTGTACAACCATCACCACAATCTAATATTAGAAAATTTTCATCACCTCTAAAAGAAATCCTGAAATCATTAGCAATCACCCCCTATTCCCTCCTTAGTCACCCCCATTCCTTCCTTCCCCTGTCCCATTTTCTCAGCCCCTAACAGTTACTAATCTATTTTCTATCTCTGTGTAGTTACCTATTTTGGACATTCATATAAATTGAGTCCTATGATATGTGGTCTTTTGTGACTGCTTTCATTTAGCAAAATTTTTCAGTGTTTATCCATGATATTTCATGTATCAGTACTTATTCCTACCAGCTTCTATTCTTGGTATTCTTTTTGTATTTTTCATGATATTGCTAATGCTCAAATAGTTATGTTGTTGTCCCACTGTTGTCTGATCCAGCTAGCTGGACTGAATAAAAAACCAAAAAGAATCATCATCTAAATACTTTTGCTTGTAAGTACAAAGAGATCCTGCCATAAATACTTTATTCCCATGTGTGTTCTTTATCCTGACACTGGATAATCTTGAAGGGTGAATGAGTGATAGGGTGATTGGCTTGAAAAACAGTTTTGCTTTACTTGAAGGTAGATGCTTATTTGTTCTGCATTTAAAAGCTGAAGGATATGAGGTTTAAGTTGTAAGAGTGCCTGAGTTTTTTGTAGAGAAATTTGGTTGATGTTTAATAATATCTTTAAGCTGAATAAAAAGTATATATAGAAAGACAACATTTTAACCCAGTTTGTTACAATAATTAGATTCCAGTTTGGTAGTTGTTAATGCCTTAGCTTTTAATTCCAGCTTGAGGAAGAGGAGTTGAAAGATGCAGTACTGCTGCTTTTTGCAAACAAACAGGATTTGCCAAATGCTATGGCCATCAGTGAAATGACAGATAAATTAGGTCTTCAGTCTCTTCGTAACAGAACAGTAAGTATTTAGAGGTTGATCTTAACTTTCTGACTTTTAGTATTATTTGGATAGTTGTTTAAGCTAGTATTCATTTTTAATTTTTAAAATTATTTTATTAATTTATTTTTTTGAGTTGGAGTCTCACTCTGTCGTCCAGACTGGAGTGCAGTGGCATGTTCCCGGCCACCACAGGCTCAACCTGATGGGCTCCAGCGATCCTTCCACCTCAGCCTCCCAAGTAGCTGGAACTACAGGCTTGCGCTACCACGCCCAACTAATTTTTGATTTATTGTAGAGATGAGGTCTCGCCAAGTTGCCCGTGGGTCTTGAACCCGCGGGCTTAGGCAGTCTACTTACCTCAACCTCCCAAAGCGCGGGATTAAAGGCTGAGCCACCGAGCCCGGCTTTGTATTCATTTTTTAAAAATTGGTGTATTATCTCCTTTGAATAGGTATTGAGCATGTCTTTTAGACCCCAAAATGTGGTTAATACACAAAAATCAAACCTTTCAGGTTTTATTTCAAATCTGTATAAATATTACATTCAGTTTTACTTTTTTTTTTTGAGTCGGAGTCTCACACTATCACCCGTGCTGGAGTGCAGTGGCATGCTTACAGCCACTGCAGTCTAAACCTTTTGGGCAGGTGATCCTTCTGCCTCAGCGTTCCAAGTAGCTGGAATCATAAACATGTGCCACCACACCTGGCAAATTTTTTTATTGTAGAGATGAGGTCTCACCATGTTGCTCAGGCAATCCTCTCGCCTCTGCCTCCCGAAATGCTGGGATTACAGGCATGAGCCATCATCCCCAGCCCAGTTTTACTTTAAAGTACTTAGCTGTCTTCTCTGCTTTTTAATTTTTAATGTATCTTTTTTTTTTTTTTTCGTTGGAATCTCACTCTGTCGCCCAAACTGGAGTGCAGTAGCCACTCCCGGCCACCTCAACATTGACCTGCTGGGCTCTGGCGATCCTTCTGTCTCAGCCTTCTGAGTAGCTGGAATTACAGGCATGCGCTACCATGCCCAACTGATTTTTTGATTTATAGTAGAGATGAGGTCTCGCCAAGTTGCCCAGGTGGGTCTCAAACCCGCGGGCTCAGGCAATTCACTCACCTCAGCTTCCCAAAGGGCGAGATTACAGGCTGAGCCACCGAGCCCAGCTAATGTATCTTTTTTTTTGAGTTGGAGTCTCACTCTGTCGCTCGCTCCCGGCCACTGCAGCCTCGACCTGCTGGGCTCTGGTGATCCTTCCGCCTCAGCCTTCCAAGTAGCTGGAACTACAGGCGCACGCTACCATGCCTGGCTAATTTTTTATTTATTGTAGAGAGGAGGTCTCGCCAAGTTGCCCAGGTGGGTCTCGAACCCGCGGGTTCAGGCAATCCACTCACCTCAGCCTCCCAAAGTGCTGGGATTGCAGGCTGAGCCACCGAGCCCGGCCTAATGTATCTTTTAAGGACCACAGAATTGTAATGTTTATTCAATTTTTTTTCTTAACTTATCTTTAGTATTGATAAATGTAGAAAAAAACTATGATAGAAAAATAGAAATGTCTAAAGATATCAAAGCTAGGCACATACATGGTGGCTCATGCCTTTCGTTTCAGCTACTTTAGAGACTAGGTAGAGAGATCACTTGAGACCAGGAGTTATGATACAGTGAGCTATAATTGCACCATTACACTCCAGCCTAGGCAGTAAGCAAGATCCTGCCTCTAAAATAAATAAATAAATGAATAAACTATTTTAGATAATATTGTTGCTGTTTGATTGTAAACATCAAAAACTTATGGAAAGACTTTTCTACTTAATATTTAAGACGTTTTAAAGGTATTTTGGACTATAAAGTTTTAAGTACTTGCTCTCAAATAGCTTTTCATTTTAGAGCCGTGATTGAAATACTGGCAAAGCATAATATTTTATTATATATAAAGATGATTATCACAGACTATTAGTGTCATGTGCTTTACAATAGTTTTGCATTAACTTGTAAACAAGGCAAATACTGTGCTATGGTAAGAAAGAAAAACAAAAACCCATTGCTGGTTTGAAATGTACAGGTGGATTTAAACAAGATAAACTGTAAATAATTTTTTAAAGTTTTTGACTGCACATGGTGACTCACAACTGTAATCCTAGCACTTTGGGAGGATGAGGTGGGAGGATTGCTTGGGCCTAGGAGTTCGAGACCAGCCTGGGCAACATAGCAAGACCTCATCTCTACATGAAATAAATAAAAAATTGATGGGGTGTGGTAGTGCAGGACAGTAGTTCCAGCGACTTGGGAGGCTGAGGCAGGAGGATGCCTGAGCCTAAAAGGTTAAGGTTGTGGTGAGCCATGATTGTGCCAGTCATTACACTCCAACCTGGGCAACAGGGCGAGACCCTGACCTAAAACAACAATAACAAAAGTTTTCCATGCTGTGAAGGTATGAATTCATGCCTTTCCATAGACTCTTGGGTTACTGAGGTTTGATATTTAATGAATTAGGCAGCAAGGTTTTTATTCTAAGGCAAAATTAATCTAGTCAGAAAATAAACTATCTCTAAAGGTAAATATTTTTCTGATTTTTTTCTTTTTTCTTCCTTCCTTCCTTTTTTCTTTTTGGAGTTGGAGTCTCACTCTGTCGCCCAGACTGGAGTGCAGTGGCCGCTCCCAGCCACCGCAGCCTCGACCTGCTGGGCTCCGGCGATCCTTCCGCCTCAGCCTTCTAATTAGCCGGAATTACAGGCATGCGCTACCACGCCCAGCTGATTTTTTTATTTATTGTAGAGATGAGGTCTCGCTGCCCAGGCGGTTCTCGAACCTGCGGGCTCAGGCAATCCACTCACCTCAGCCTCCCAAAGGCAGGGGATTACAGGCTGAGCCACCGAGCCCAGCTTCCTTCCTTTCTTTTTTTTTTTGATTCGGAGTCTCACTCTGTCACCCAGACTGGAGTGCAGTTGCACACTTACAGGCACTGCAGCCTCAACCTGGTGGGCTCAGGTGATCCTTCTGCCTCAGCCTTCCAGGTAGCTGGAACTACAGGCGTGTGCCACTACACCTAGCTAATTTTTTTCATTTTGTAGAGACGAGGTCTTGTCAAGTTGCCCAGGCTAGTCTTGAACCCTTGAGCTCAGGCAATCCTCTCACCTAGGCCTCCCAAAGTGCTGGAGTTACAGGCTGAGCCACCGAGCCCGGCTTGAATTTAGTTTTATGAGAAACAAGGTGGTTATGGTTATGGTTATAAAGACCAGATAGGTGGTTTATTAGTTACTAATTTACCCTTGAATCTTCTCTTCATATTAAATGGGGGAAATTTAATAAATCTAATCATTAGGCAGAAGTAACTTTAAGTGTAGGGGAAAGGCTGGTCATGATGGCTCTCACCTGTAATCCCAGCACTTTGGGAGGCTGAGGAAGGAGGAATGCTTGAGCCCAGGATTTGAGACCAGCCTGGGCAATATAGCAAGACTTCGTCCTATAAAAAAATCAAAAAATTAGCTGGGTGTGGTACGTGTTTGAGGTCCCAGCTACTGGGAGGCCGAGAGACAGGAGAACCTTTTAAGGCTGTGTTGAGCCATGATCAAGCCACTGCACTCCAGACAAGGCAACAGAGTTAGACCCTTACTCATCATCTTGAGTGGTCTGTGTAGTTACTGAGATTATTAAATACAAAATTGATCATTTGTTTGTGAGATATAATACTTAATTTACTTGCATTTAGCCCTATCATTTTATGTTTACTTTTTGTTTCCTTTTTTCCCTGTACGTTTATGATAACTGTTTGACTCAGTAATGCCTTTGGACATTTATAGAACAATACTAAGGTTTTTTTTTATTAAGGAAGTTTAAACACTGTGGTTGTATATATTGTCTTATGTTAACCAAGTATTTTCTTTCTTTCTTTATAGTGGTATGTTCAAGCCACTTGTGCTACACAAGGAACTGGTCTGTATGAGGGACTTGACTGGCTGTCAAATGAGCTTTCAAAACGTTAAATGAAACTGGCTATCTAACCAAGGACATGTTTGATAGAATTGGTCTAGGCTTGTTACAACAAAATTAGTTTGCATCTTGTTTATTAAACAGTATCTGGGACTGGTTCGGGCAGAATATTACAGCATTTAAACTTACTTTGTTGCCAATTAATGTTGACCAAGTAAAATGTTGCTATTTAGCAATGTACTTGGTTTTAAAGAAATTCTCCTTGGGGAAAAAATAGTCCTCTTAATTTTACTTTCCTTAAGCCTGAATGCCTGGACAGAGCTATTGTGAAACCTTCAAATAAATCCGTTTTGAATGTTTTTTGAGCCTACAACAAATAATGTTTTAAAGTTACCCCCTTGCTACTTTACGATACCTTGATCATTCCTGGGACAGTCTGCTGATTTAGAAATGTAGCATTCCATTTGTATTTATTTATCTCCCTTGCCAAAAAGATTTTCTAATATGCTTATACCAGCCAGGGAAATGCTCCAAAACACTATTCAGCTCTCTTGCACTGGGGAACTTATGTTTTTCAGCCATATTGACTACTGGTTCTGTCAGCCAAACTTCCCTTGGTATGGTTTGGATTTGATATCTAATTAGCTAGTTGCAAAGAGTTCATATTGAGATTATTTTTAATACTCAGCAGATTGTCTTCCTTTAAATTGTATCTTTTTTATGTTGCATGTTGCTTTTGGTATCAGCCAATTTGCCCAGTATATGATAGTTCTACTGATGTTTTGTTTATTGGTGAACATATCGTCATTAAGAGTTTTTGGAAACGTCATACTCAACAAATTCAATGAGTAAATTTTCTTCATAACCCATTTGGAATTATTCCTAATAAAATAATAAAATGTAAAATTATGTGTGTTCTTTTTGAGTCTTGAAGGTGCTTGAAATGGATTTTTCTTAGGTAGCAAAGTTGATTTGCGCATTTTACATGCTATGAACAATAACACAGATCCCAGTGGTTTACTGATTGCTTAAAGTGGAAATAAAATATGGGTTGTTATGTATAAAAGAGTGGGGAGCAACATCAGAAACTTAGTTTTCTTTGATAAATTACCATTTGTAAAGAGTAAGAGTAAGCAGCTGTAATAAAATGAACTGCCCAAAAAAGCATGTATGCATGTGTTTCTTTTACAGTTAACATAGTTTAAGTGCTTAAGTGCTGTTTGCATGGCAGAATACAGACTGTTAGTGATGCTGCTCTCCTACAAAGAACCAAGTGCACAAGCCTAGAATTCAGTAGAAAGCTGCATGTAACTAATTATTTTGTCAAGGCAATAAAGGTATACCTCATTAACTATATTAAGTTATTAAGGACTTGATAACTTGGAGTAACTTTGTTTTTGTCTGTATTCTAATGTTTTATGTATTTTTATAAAGTTTGCCTTTTTTATAGTTTTTAATGGCTTGTGTCGTTTCAGTTAAACTTACAGATTGAAATTTTATTTCCAAAGCTAAATACATGCTTGCAAAAAAAAATATGTAAAATTTTGAATTGTAAAAACCGAAACCAAACTGGATTAAATAAAAGGGCATTGGAATTAATCAGTTAATGACTAAAAAGGTTCCTGGGATAAAGTGTATGTTAAACTAGTTTGTGACACTTGATATCAGCGCAGCTTTCCTAGCTAACAGGTTGAATTATTCCTTCCAATTAAAAGAGGTCTCGTTTCTTTTTTTTTTTTGAGTAGTAGTCTCACTCTGTCATCCAGACTAGAGTGCAGTGGCACACTCCCAGCCACTGCAGCCTTTACCTGCTGGGCTCCGGCGATCCATCCGCCTCAGCCTTCCAAGTAGCTGGAACTACAGGCGCGTGCTACCACGCCTGGCTAGTTTTTGATTTATTGTAAAGATGAGGTCTCACCAAGTTGCCCGGGTGGGTCTTGAACCCACGGGTTCAGGCAATCCACTCACCTCAGCCTCCCAAAGGCGCGGGATTACAGGCTGAGCCACCAAGCCCAGCTGAGGTCTCAGTTCTTGTTAGGTAAAACTAAATTGTGGTTATAGTATGTGTAGTTTTTTAGGGTATCAACTAGGAAATATAAAATGTAAGTAAGTTCAGTATTAGGATTGTAATTAACTCACTGAGGTATTAATTTAAAAACTAACCCAATTAAGTCAAAGGTGGTTTCATGGACTCTGAAGAGTGAGTAAAGAATCCATATCCTAGGCTGGGTGTGGTGGCTCACGCCTGTAATCCCAGCACTTTGGGAGGCTGAGGTGAGAGGATTGTCTGAGCCGAGGGGTTCGAGAGCAGCCTGGGCAACTTGGCAAGACCTCGTCTCTACAATAAACCAAAAAATTAGCCAGGCATGGTGGCGTGTGCCTGTAGTTCCAGCTACTTGGAAGGCTGAAATGGAAGGGTTGCCTGAGTCCAGCCGGTAGAGGCTGCGGTGGCTGGGAACCTGCTACTGCCCTCCAGCCTGGTTGACAGAGTGAGGCTCCAACTCAAAAAGAATCCATATCTTACTTGTAATGTAAAAGAGCTCTTACTGCCATTGGATATGACTACGTTAAATTAAAATGGCCCAACATTTACTAAACAGTTTAAAAAAGATTTGCCAGATTGCCTTTTTTTTTTAAACAAAGCATTAACATAGCAACTTGACCTTCTAGAAGTTTTTACCTCTAGAAAATACTTTTTCTTCAGTCCTCATATTAGTATTTTTAAAAGAAAAAGCCAAATTGTCAAAAGTCAAAAGTTCTATTTTCCATTAGAAATGGTTTACATGCTTTGGGGAAAAGTATTGACCGACACCTCTAGGATGCCTTTTTCCGCTTTATGCAAACATAAAATCACTATCACTGTCCTAATTTATTGGAGTATTCTTTTATGAAAAACTTGACACTGTCAAGATTCAGTGCTTATTGTTCACTCAGATGTTAAACTTAGTGTTGACCAATCAATAGAGGTCTCTGTGACCGCCTCTATTATACAGAACAGTTGATTATGCCCCTAGATTGAAAAGTATTCTGTCAAATAATTGTTGTATAACATTAGTAGAGAAACTGAAGAGGAATTGTGATTCCCTTAAAGGCTCACTGGCAGCATCAGAGTTTAGTACCATTATCTATTCTGTATTTCCTCTGTTTCCCCCTGTTCCCCCATGCCAATAAGCCTCTTTTTTTTTTGGTCCATAATATCTCCATTGTCTTGTGTAGCTTCATCAACTGCTTTTCTGTGATGTAATATATTAATATTTTGTTAAATTTCAATTTTTTTTTTTTTTCAGTCAGTCTACTCTTTCACCCAGGCTGGAGTGCAGTCACACCCTCATGGCCACTGCAACCTCGACCTGCTGGGGTCAGGCAATCCTTCTGCCTCAGCCTTCCAAGTACCTGGAACTACAAGCACATGCCACCACTCCCAACTAATTTTTTGATTTATTGTAGAGACAAGGTCTCACCAAGTTGTCCAGGTTCGTCTCAAACCCATGGGCTCAGATAAGCCTCTCTCACCTCGGCCTCCCAAAGTGCTGGGATTATAGGCGTGAGCCACCATGCCAGGCCAAAATGCCAGGTTTTTTTGTTCCCCCCTTTACACAGTCTGTTGAAAAACTAGGCTGCTAGGCTGGGTGTGATGGCTCATACCTACAATTCCAGCACTTTAGGAGCTGAAGGCAGGAGGACTTCCTGAGGCCAGGAGTCAAGACCAGCTTGGACAACATAGTGACAATCCATCTCTACAAAAAATAAAACTAGCCGGGTGTGGTGGCACATGCCTGTAGTCCCAGCTACTTGGGTGGCTGAGGAGGGAGGATTGCTCAGGATCCCTGGAGTTGAAGACTGCAGTGAGCTACGATCATGTCACTGCACTCGAGCCCCAGTGACAGCAAGACTTTATCTAAAAAAAAAAAACTTCAGTGGAATTTATTTTTTTTTGCAGACTATGAGAGATTTCCACTTCTGCATAGGTACAGAATTACCTCATATGCAGTTAAAATTACTTTAAGGTCACTTACTGGGATCAGACTTTTCACCCCAGGCTGGAGTGCAGTAGCACAATCTCGGTTTACTGCAACCTCAAACTCCTGGGATCAAGTGATCCTCCTGTGTCGTCTTCCCAAGTAGCTGGAACTATGGGCATGTGTTGCCATGCCTACTTTTTCTGTTTTTTTGTAGAGGTGAGGTCTTGCTGTGTTGCTCAGGCTGGTCTCAAAACTCCTGGCCTCAAGTGGTCTTCCCACCTCAGTCTCCCAAAGTGCTGGGGTGTGAGCCATTGCACCCAGCTCTAACTTTCTTAAATGTAGAATTTCTGGTTCTCTGTCTTGAAAGTTTGAAGGTGACTGATTTGTCATTGAAAACAAGTGCTTATACTTGGTGGAGGCATGCTGGATGTTTCATTAATATAAATATCAATTACCAGCTTTGGTAGAGTTAATATGAAAACTAGGTTGCATAATAAGAGCAAATGGTATATCTGCAAGTACATTATCTGAAGATCTGATACAGGGAAAAATCAGTGAAGCAGCTCTTGAATCTGACTACCTTTTCAGAAGATTCCATTCTGAGAATGTGATCTCAGTGGTTTGCTTTTCCCAATGATCCACAAAGCTGGTGTTGGAATTGTACTGGCACACCAGAATTCCCAGACAATATTTACTTGATATAATCAGCTTAGTTATTTTTAGGTAAATCTTAGGAATTATATATTAGCTTTGCATTCCCTAATCTCATTTAAGGTAATAAAGCATTTTACTTTAAAGACTACATATATAAAAATGGAATTGATGGCTGTAAAATTTATTCTTCAGACACTCAAGCAGGATTAGATACACAAGTAATCTACATGCAGGTGAAATTTGGGCCTTCAGCTGGACCTCACTTCCTCTGGTTTAGAACAAGGTACACTTTGTGTTATGTGTCCCCCTCCCCCTTCTCCCCCCAGGCAGTGTCTTGCGACTGCCTTTCTTGTACTATTGTGATTAATGTTTAGGTCCCACTTATGAGTGAGAACGTGGTATTAGGTTCTTTAGTACTCGGTTCTTTGTTTCTGTCATGCATATCCTTGATACATTTTTATTAGCTTATATGCTGAAACACAACAGGTGCCACTACTGGATGATTGATTACTTGGCTACTTTTGCTTATGTGTTACTTTTGCAAAGATTGTAAGCAATGAATAGCAAAAGCAGTTATCTGGATTCAGGCAAAGAATAATTACGGTAGTTGAACTAGTGGATTCCTGCTGGTTCAGCTTTGTATGTTAAAGGTCAGTGGAGTTAGGTTCCTTCCTGATCTTGTCAGTGATTTCTACTTTACTTTAAATAATAATATTGGGCATGTAAGTACTCTGTTGGTGTTAGGGGGCTTAGCTTTGCCTTCTGCAGGCAGGGATTGGCTCTCAGGAACTCACCAGGCTTTAATTACAGTGGTTCCTTTTTAGGCTAGGTTGAGTGCCACTTAACTAATAGGCATATATTTAAGCACTTATTGAGCCAGGTTTGCCTCTTGGATTGTCCCTGAAGAGGCAAGAGATAATGATTTTTTTTTTTTAATTTAAAGGAGGGATAGCTCACAGCAAATAACTCACTTTAAAGTGGGTGTAGTATTTCAAAAGAAATTTCTCCAAAGATAAACGGATGGCCATCTTGAAAATGTAAATCAAAACCAAAATGAGATGCTACATCACACTAGGTAGCTTATTATAAAAGAGAAATATTGATGAGGATCGAAATTGGAGCCCTTATGTATTGCCTGTGGAAATGTAAAATAGTACAACTGCTTTCAATAAGTCTGGTAGCTCCTCAGGAAGTTAAACAGTTCCATATGATCCAGTAATTCCACTCCAATGTATATGCCCAAGAGAAATTAAAATGTAAATCCACTAAAAAATGTATACATAAATGTTCATAGCAGCATTATTCAAAGAAGCCAGGAAGTAGAAGCAATCCGGATGTCCAACCGGATAAATGTGGATAAATGGATAAATGTGGTATGTCTATACAATGGAATATTCATTATAAAAACAAATGACGTACTGATACATGCTACAACATGTAAGAACCTTAAAAAACATCGGCCGTGCGTGGTGGCTCAAGCCTGTAATCCCAGCTCTTTGGGAGGCTGAGGTGAGAGGATTGTCTTGAGTTTATGGGTTTGAGACCAGC